CACGTTTTGGGTCGGTCGATTGGCCACCAAAAACGTGTGATATTACCGTTAGACTTCTTCCTGTGTGGAAATGTAACGTCTAAAGTGTACGTGGACAGTCCCGCTTCGATTCAGGTCTTGGAGCAAAACATAAGGCGAGTCATTCGCCAGTTACCAGAAGAAATGCTCGAACGAATCATCGAAAATAGAATTCAACGAATGGACCATCTGTGTCGTATACGCGGCCAATACTTGAAAGAGATAATCTTCAAAAAATATAGGCCAGATAATGTTTTTTCGAATGATAATAAATGCGTAACGTCAGTGGTTAGGGTCCCTGGACATAGGTACATCCCAGCGTTCCCGACGAAATGCCCCAAAAGGGAAATTCTTAACCCCGGTAACCTCTGCACATGGCATGGGCATACCGCTTTCCTCGGCAAAGTCTTTGTCATATCACCAAAAGGGGACCAACAGCAAATAACAAAGGAAAACCACGTGACAATGTGACAAGACAAATCTGACCATTAATCGAGGTAAACAGAACTAAGTCTTTACTCTTTCTACGTCGAAACTTCCATAATCATAACAGTCGGTGTAATAACCAGACAATCTCTTATGGGGTCTTATGGTATGGATGGATGGGATATTTCTCTAATGACCTTTGTCACTGCCCAGCGGTCAGTGCGGTCCGTTATCATTTTCTCGGAAATTTCCTCAGCATCATTAATCTCATCATCATTCATAAAACAGTCCCAGTGTTTTGAGCATTTGGAAAGGTGAAAAAAAATCTCCTGAACAGGACTAACATACGAGTAGGTATCTCAAGGGACCAGTAGGTCTGTTAAACTAACCAACTAACTATCGAATAATGGCAGTGGCCGTCGACCGATTTCATATATTTGCGATATTCGCTCAAATTTATATAAACTTTGGGGCAAATTATCTGTTGCATAGTGTCACAGATAGACAGTCAGCAATATCTGAACGAATTTGTTCTGAGTATGTGAATTTGTAGTTATATTATTATATTATATTACAAATAACGATTAACTAAAATATGATAAAATCCAAAGTGTATACTCTCTACACAGTACAGTACAAAGTAAATATTCTAAAGGCTGTCCCGAAAAATGTCAGCTATTTTAAAAATTAAGAGGCAACCTTAATGTTCATGTCCCTGCCGCGCATTTCATTTCGTTTACTGCTGCTAATTTTTCTTTCCCCTAACCAATGTTGCAGTTGGTATCCATTCCATCCTATTTGCTAGTCCGTCTGTGTACTAAGGGTATATTTGAGTTCGCTTGACTGCCTTTTGCTTTCAGGAATGGCGGATTTAACTTTGCAATGCTAGGAAAGCAGATGATGTTGGGGCACTGGCACTGGCGGTGAGGGTGATAATGTTGATAGTTGTGCGCCTGTGCATGAACGAATGTGTAGGTGGTTAGAGGTAGTTCGTTGGCCGGCGGGCTAAAAGGCAAGTCGGTTCGTTGGTTGGTTAAGTACATGTTTTCGAGCTTGCCTTTGCGTAGATGAAAATGTATTTGTAACTGAACGAATGAGGGGCGGAGTAACTCAATTAAGGATCCATTTGATGGGAGACATACACATTTTGTAAATATATATGTACAAACGAGTATGTGTGTGTGTGTCATACAAATGCTGCTTTATGCACATATATATAAGTATGTACCTACAAAACAAGATTTTCTCTTTCCATATTATTTTTATTATTTTCTTTCATTTCGTTTTTATATTTAATTTGCCCGTAGTTGTATCCATCATTCATCTTTAGTCTTTAAATCGAAGTAACAACATATACTTACATACGAGTATTTCCAAAGAAAGTATAAATTTAACGATTCTGCAGTATTCCAAGCACTGTAATTTACCTCAATTATCTGAACACGAATTCAAACGGTTATTCAAATCTTATAAATATAAAGATTTAATTACAAAATTTATGTAAACTCTTTGGTGCGTTTGACCTACAAAGCCCGAGAAATGTCTTGCACGTAGACTGTTAAAATATGAAAATACAACTATACGGCATTTTGGAAAATGAATGCAAATGTCTTGTTTTCAAATGTCAGAAGAAGCCGACCGAAGGTATCATTACCGAGCCAAATTCCTGCAGTAAGGAGAGAAATAAACTGTTGATAGCATGTTGAGCATAAGCACGGGGCACTTCTCCAGCCTTTTTGATAGCGGCTTAAGTAGCCAAGCGCCTAAGGAGCAAAAGGACTGGCGAAACGGCGAAACATTGCGTCATTCGTTAGTAGTAATCTCGTACAAACCATCATTCCATTGGCTACGGTATTCGCCGCTCCCAACTCATAGAAACTCCCAACGTCGACTCGGCAAATATTGTCATCATTGCCAAATGAGATTTGAGACTAGGTGAAGATAGATCCGTATAACTTCTTTAACCTATTTCTAAGCAATATAATATCAGATTAAGAGCTGTAAGTCGAAAAAATACAATACCAAAAATTTTTTTTTATTTTAATTTATATCCCTTAACATATATAATTGGCGCTTTGTAACCGCTGAAGCGATTTTCCGCCGAGCTCCTCCTCCAGCATGTGGTTTTGCTTCTTGATGTATTTCCAACAAATGGAAGGATATACAGTTTATACTAAGCCGCCTCCGAACGGCTGGTGGTTTTTTTTTTAATAGGCGCCCTTTTTTCATGTCAGAAATACGCTCGAGGGGCGATCGCAATTAGAAAATTTAGCACAATTTTTTATTTAAATTAATTTTATATAACTTTTACATGTTGGTCGCTCGGGGACTTGAACCCGAGCCTTTCGAATGGCATTACGCAATGCTAACCAGTCGGTTACCGCAATTATATAATTAGCTTGTATTATAAATAACATAGCTTTTGGAATTGATGATATTTGTGGAATTGAGCCAGTTTTAGTTAAAACAGTGGCAGATTAACAAAGCTAATTGACCTTCTTAAGTTTAAGCCAACCATTTTGTAGTTTCAAATGCACAGGGTTGAACTTCGGCAACTTTCAAATTAAAATGTTTTGTTTTAATTAAAAGTCTGGCATTCAGAAAAACGGACCATTAAAGATATTAAGTAGTCGGCAAATTGCATTCATTTTTATTTTTTTGGAAATACTTTTTTGGAAAGAAATCAATCTGGTTAATGTTTTTAAATATTAGGTTTGTTTATTGAGACCGAAAAAAGAGTAGAGCAGCTCAAGTTCGAGCAGAAAAGAGCAGCTGCCAAAAAAACAATAGAGCAAGCTACAGCAACACAGAAAAATCATGAAAAATTTTTCGTGCAACAATTTTCAAATCGCTCCATTCTTATTAATTTAGTGATATAAGTTTTTGAGCTGATTACTAATTTGAAGTATTAAGAAAACGTGAATTTATCAGATAAATATTACATATACATTTGTAAGATGGATATATTGACTTGTTTTTTAACTGGCACTTAGTATTAACGACAACGCGGGTGTTTATTCACCTTTGGTAGTATCGGGCCACCTAGACCATGGTTTAATCAAAACAGGCTACGTCTTGCACCTTGCACACATTAAAAAATTGCTAAATCTGTGACTTCGGTGGAGTTACCAAAAAAAAAAGTATTGCATTATTTATGTTTTTTCTATATAAGAAAATTGTCCACTTATTATTTATTAGGATGACATACATACATATAGTTTTATTGGAAAAAATTACTTTTTTTGATAATATATATATATCAATCCCGTCCACTGTATATATATATATGGTTCGGTGACGTCAACGGTTGTCATGACCTTGAATTCAATACAACCTGGCGTCACCTAGAGCACCTAAAACGTATTATTAATAGTATCTCAGAGTGTACAAAAAAATAGAAAAATGAAAAAGATTATTGTTCTATATATCTAAATAGGAATAAACAATTTCGTTCAAAATAAAAAATGGTTGACTTCGAAAAAAGTAGCATTTTTTAAGTAGAAATCGGGCTGTTAAATGGAAGTAGTAGAAGAAGAATAGCACACATACATATTCGAATTTCAGCCCAATCGGTTGAATAGAAAATTGGTTATTAAAAATTCCGACCGTAAGAATGTTGTTTCGAAAAAAACGCGTTTAAAGTTTCAACAAAAGACTTGCAACGACTCGTGCCTTGCGTCTGAGCGCGTACCTCTCCGAGACACTCACGTATGGGTGCTATAACTTCGTCAACTTTTCGAACTTCGTTCTAAAATTTTTTCGTAAAAATTGTTAAAATCTACTACAAAAATGTTGATTCAAGTTCGTGCTTTAGGAATAGAAATTGGAAGAGCCGAAATTGGTTACAGATATTGTTTTGCTGCAATAGTTCCAACTCAAATTTCGCTACTATAAAAGAAAATATAACCGAAGACCGGAATGTGTATATTCCTCGACGTTTTCGAAAGCTGAGACTTTCTTATAGCATATTTTGCACTTGGACTTATACCCATATCTGTATAAAGTCCAGCTCACAAAGCAACTGAAGCCAGCTGACCAAAGAAGACACGACTTTTTTTCAAATAAAGATTTCTTCAGTAACATTTCTCTCTCGGGGGATACGTAAATATGCAAAATTGTCACTTTTGGGGATCCGAAAATTCGAAGTAATTGAAGAGACGTCATTACATTCAAAAAACCGTGTGATGTGCTCTCGGCACTAGTCGGCAATTGAACACGATTTGGTTTCAACAATATGGTGACATATGCCACATAACACGAATATGGCTTTATTGGGAAAGAACTTTCCCCGGCCGTCAATTTAGGTCAGGGACCGTCAGTCCTGTTGGAAAAAATTAATGATAAACCAAACCGCGAATATCGAAAAAAAACGATAACCGGAAACTTTCTGGTCTTAATGAATGTATCATGTTCACGGCGCCATGTTTAGATGTAAGATTTCAGATTAGGGTGCTTTCTCTGATAATTTGTTTTCTCGATATAAACAAGGAAAAACCAAACTACTCACTATATTTTTCCTGTCTATAAAAATTTAAAAAAAAAATTTTATTTTTTAGGTTTGGTTCCAAAATCGTCGTGCCAAATATCGAAAACAGGAAAAGCAGTTGCAGAAAGCTTTGGCTCCATCTGTGATCCCCTCATGTAATGGAATGATGAGAAATATTCAAGGGTATAGCGTATCTCGTGGTTATCAGCCTTACCCACATCATAACTCGATAAATCGATATCCACAGGTTTGTAAACAAATTGGCAAAAAAAAAATAAATTAATTAACATATCAGTAAATATTGGCATAGATATGTACATACATATATGCTGATTTGTAATAAGGAAAAGCTTACCGTCTAAAAACTTGAATTACTTTGTAATTTAATTGAACCATCACTCTAAACTTTTTCATTAATATAAGCTTTGTTATTACTACTTTTGTGAGCTCTAGACCAAATTAAACTATACACTATGCACCCTTAAGACTGTGTCGCTAAAATAAAAATTGATAATTTTATTTAGTAATTCCACATTTCCAAATAACTGAGAAAATTTTCATTTAAATTTATTTTAATTTGGAATAGCAGTTAACATTTACCATTTTTTGCAGGATCTTTTTCAAATGGGTGCATCCTCTTATCCCAGCATGACACAGCCATTCTCAATGACACATGGCACAAACATGGGCTCTGTAGGTGTGCGGCAAGATTCAATGGGTAAGTTTCTATGATCTGTTGCACCAAAATATATGAGGCAAAACAATAAATGGTTACTGTTGATTTCCGGTGAAATTACGAAAAGTACTCTGCTTGGGTTTCAATGTGATTTTGACTCTTTTATTTCAAAATTTTCACTCGAAACAAAAAGAAAAACTGATTTCACAATTATTTCTGAATAGAAGGAACCGGAACTTATATCCTCCAATTATTGCGTTTGACAGTTAAAGGTGTCTATTTTCAAATTAATATATAATTTTAGTTCAAAAAATTGCTAATTACGTTTAGAATGAAAAAGTTTATAAAAGTACATTTGAATGTTCCATCTGAACTTCTTAATTTGATATATGGGTGAAATGTGCTTCAAGGGGAGATTATGATGCCCATAATCGTTCAACTACGCAAATAATTTAGTAAAATTGTGAAGAAATTTGAAGATGTTGGATCGGTTACAGATATTGTAAGGCCTATGCATTATCACTGTTTTAAGTGTTAGTGTAGCCGAAGACCCAAACGTTTATATTTTTCGACGTTTTCTAGTGCTGAGACTGTCTTACGGCACATTACATATAAAGTATTTACACAAAGGCGAGACTGTCACTCGCGTTAGGTCATATGATAACCGACTTATTTTTGGCAATTGAAGAACACGATTTGGATAATATGCGGTTTCCACAAGATGGTGTTATACCCCAAGTAACGCGTAACCTCTCGTCTTGGTGATGTCAATTGGCGCCCGCAGTTAAAACTTTAACTCTTGAGTACTTGAAAACCAACATTCGTCAAGTTATGGTTGAAGCGATTATGTCAATGAAGTAGTGCTTCACATATAATGTCAAAGTTCAAACTTTATAATAAACATTTAATTTCATGAAAAAAGTTATTTTAAATACGTTTATTTCGAAGCCGGAAAATGATTAATCCTATACCATCTCCTGGTATCAAACAAACAGTCCTCGCTTTCGCAACTCTGCTTCTTAAGTCACTTTTGACAATCACAACTTCAAGCCAGAGATAACTTCGTCTAACTTGGAACCCAACAACAATGTCAGTCAAACCGAAAATCACTACAGCTAGCAGATGCTATTTTGGACTGAGTAGGCAATTGAAAAGTAAAGTTCTCTTCCGCTGAACGAAAACCGAACTCTACAAGTCACTCATCGTTCCCATCCTGCTGGATATTGCAGAAAGTTCTCTGCGCTTTGGCAACTGTATGAGATATACCAGGACATTGACATAGTTCAGGGAATCAAAAGACAGCTGTTTAGCTGGCTATGTCATACGCTTCGAAAGGATAAAAATAGCCCAGCTCTGAAAGTTTTCAATGCAATGCCTGCCGGTGGAAGCAGCAGAAGAGGAGGACCTCCGCTTCTTTCGAAAGACCAAGAGGAGACGAACCTGGTTATACTTGGCATTTTCAATTGACCCAAAAGAGCGATACAAATTATTGCTTGGATAAATCTTCAGTGTCAAATAGGAAGAGTTTATATATAATAAACACTCCACGCTCTACGAGTATATTTACTTATGTAGTAATTATAACCAAGGTCTATTGCATATAAGGTTTCGGCAATCGTTGACGTCACTGGACCATTTTCGTTATATTTACCAAAAGGTTTATATAGAATATATGCGATAATACAAGCATTAAATGAAAGAGTTACCAGCTACTGAAATTTTTATTCAAATATAATATCAATTTTCATAATTTATTCTAATTGAAATATTTATTGATTTTAAGAAATCACCTTGCCAGCATTAGAAATTTAAAGCCAAAACGTTACTTTATTTTATGGATAAAATTATGCAAATGTATTTTAAAACCTTTGGTAACCCAAAAAATTTAATCAACTTCGACATTAAAAATATGATTTTGCTCTTCCACTCTAATAACGGGTGATACGATAAGCCATTATTATTATTCACTATAAAAATTTCATTGAAAAATCATCTTAACTGATGAGACTCACTTCCACCTCGCCGCCCTCAAAGTGTATGTGTTTGATGCGGTTTCTGATCCGGCAGGGTCATTGGATCTAACTTTTTCGAAAATCCATTCAATTTTTTTTTCCAAAAAATCCTAACCATTCATTGCGTTATTTAGTCAAGATTAATTGGGTTTTATGACCGGAATGGGATGGTATTGATCTGGTCAATGTTTGCTTCTAACAAGACGGCGCTACGTGCCACACACACAACGAACCTATCGATCTTTTAAGAGAAAATTTGCAATACCCAATTACGATTACTAAACCAGGTAGAGATCTAGATTTTGTAGGCCTATAGCCTGATAAGATTAATTACGATATTCTCCGAAATTGAAAAAATACAACCGATTTTAGAATCGAAACAGGCCCCTTACCGTGCCACCAATTTAGATTTAATGAGGCACATCACAATAGAGCAGCATTTGATAACAAGCAATATTCCACTGCAGTGTTCCATGATAGAGATCAGGCATTTCATAAAAGCTAAGAGATACGCTTTTCATAAATATTAATGGCGTGGTAAAATGCTTCATTATTGGTAGAAAAATTCGAATAAGGCAAAAAAGTTACACTACTCAATCCTAAGAAATATTTGCTAATATTCACAAGGAACCGAAAACTCATTACAGCAACTATTACGAATGATACGTCAATACTTAGTGTACGTTCTAACCGTTGAGGCTACTTATAGACTACAACAACGTTTAAAAATAATAGAAGAACGGCTAGCTACTTAGAAAATCAAAGTCAACGAGTCTAAGAGAATACAAGTAACATTTACCCTAAAAGAAGACTCATGTCTTCCACCTCTACAAATCGTAATACAATACAATACCACAGAAAGAATTTATTACTCACTTTGGAGTTGTATAAGAAACTCAGCTGGAAAAATCATATATTATATCATATATGATTGCTCAAACTAAATTAAAAATTTTAAATTTTAATTAAAAACGAAGTTTGGAAAACAAAGTGTTGCTTTTTTATATGCTTATAAAGCTTGTAGGATTAACATCGTAAACGAGAAGAAATACTGCATATAAAATACTCATTGAGGTTTCTAACCATCCAAACTTTTTAGCTGAAAGCTTATTGCAGTAAAACTACCTCAAGCGATTAAAGAGGTATTAAGGGCTCAACCGCATTTAATTTTACTGCACTGGATATATTATTTTATTATAAGTTACAAAAGGATGATTTGTTAAGAGCTACAGCAAAGTTTTTCAAAAAAACACATAAAATTGAGAAAAATGATATGAAATCTTTATTTGAATCGATGGTACGAACCGTGACTGCGCCTTAAATGGTCAATCCGCTTAGTCCAATTTTGGCATACTATTTCCAACATTTCGGCCGGTATCTCGCGAAGAAGTGCGCGATTAACTTGCTCAACAGAGCAGGCATTTTGTTAATTAAGTTCAATAATTTTCAATCGTTGTTCCTTTGTAAGACGATTCATGGTTAAATTATAGATATATAATTATAGGTAGATAGATAGAAGAGAGGCATAAGTACTGCATATAAAATTACTCCTTGAGGTTATCAACCATCCAAACTTTTTAGCTAAAAGCTTATTGCAGTAATTAAAAAGGTATTAAGGGTTTTGCCGCATTTAATTTTATTTATGAGTTTTAAGATTTTCAGAATTGTTAATAGTTTCTAAAAAGAAAGATTAAAAAAAAATACATTAAAAAAACTTTGCTTTGTTATGAAATGTAAAATCCAGAAAGCTATTTTCGGATGTGTTTCAGTTTTTCTCCTTCAAACATTTTATATGATGATGGAAGATTTTACAGAACTTCTCTTTTTCGATCTTACGGTATTTAACATATACATTTACATATGTTGATAATGTCAAAAGACAGTTGGTGTTGTCAGATTGGGAAAACTTCGTATTTGGTTAAGACAATACAAATAATACAACAGTTGATTTAAAGTATGGAATGAACAATGATATCAAAGAGTACGAAAATATATACAATATTATCGGTATTTTGCATTGAATGATGAGTACCTTTTAACAGAAAAATTTAATTAACCAAAAATTTTAGAACTTTTTTATGTGAAGTAATTACTTCCTTTTTGCAAAAAGCTTTTTCTAACACTCCCACTTTTTCATTTTGGTCATTTTTGTCCACAGCCAGTCGGAGTGTGAGTCTTATCGAGTCATAACCACAATACTAGTAAAATCAACACAATTATATTGTAACGCAAGAGAACCCCTTTAAATTACATAGTTAGATATCAATAAGACCATTTAGCATATTCTCACATACTACAATACATACATATGTGCATAGAAATCTGCTATGATACCTAAATTTTCCAACGAATTATACTGTGCAACTTTAGAGCAATATATCTAATATAATTATGTACACGTATGTTGTATATATACGCCTATTAGTGTGCAATTTAAGTATGTTTACAATCGAATAGTTCAATACGTATATATGAGTAAAATTTGATCCAATCAATGATTTAATATTTTTATTTATATTTCATTACTTATATTTCATAGGAATGTCACCGGAGGACGAATGGTACAACAAAAGCTTATCTGCCTTGCGCATGAACAGTTCACATCACCCGAATTTGTCAGCGCCGATGTTGCAATATCAAACATAATCGAAAACCTTTGACGACTTCTTTTAAAATACAAATGTTGGGATGGAGACACCACAGCGAAATCCAATGTGTGTATTTTAAAGGGGCGCCGTCAAGTGATTAATTGCTCTGTAGATAGTAATAACTTGATAATTACAATAATTAATACAAGTCGTTGGCCACATTTATGGAAAGCTCACAATGACATATATAAAATGGCCAACAATAAACATTTAAGTATTAGGAGTCAATGGACGTAGTAAGAAAAAATATGAATTTATGAACCCATACCGCGCACTCGTCGTTATGATCACGAATAAATAGACAAAAATGGTTTACAAAAATCGTTTGTACTTTATTATTTTACAATGTTACATGCAAGAAGTATGAAGGAATGAGCAATCAGAAAAAAAACTATATCTATGTACGTGTATTCATGAAACGCTTTTCAATTAATTTAAAGGTGAACATATATTTTATGGATTTTTGAAAAATGGATCAAACACTTTGAAAAGATACCTTAATTAGTACCTATCAAAAATGACTAGCTTAGGTTTAAACCAAAGAGAAATTGTAACGATAAATTTCACATTAATCAAAAAAAAATCTTATTTGGGAATATTGCCATTAAATCAGTTACCAAAATAAATTTATTTTCGTTTTTACCCGAGACGATATATGGTCGTTTCTATTTAAGGGGTACACCTAGTGTAAAGGTCTAGAAAAAGGTAATTTTTGGGAGTTTTTATTAAAAAAAATATACTTTATTAATTATTTCAAAATTTAAGAATACATTTGTACATATTTGAAGAATATACAGTGAAATTTTTGAAGAAAAATATTAAATATTTCTTAAGTTAAAGGCGATCTCCAACAGCGCGAAAAAAGGTCCTTCACTGCTGCAGTGATTCCGTCCTTATCCGTGGATGATATCTAAAAAAAAAATATTCTCATTAAACTAGATAATATTGTCTGTACAATGACAAAAAAAATCTAAAATTGACAACATGGCGGCGTTTTGAAAAAAAAAGTCGAATTTTACCCGAAATTTTGTTCGATTTTGGCCTGCCTCTCTAGCTTCCGAGCAGCTGCTCTTTAAATTGCTATAACTCAAAAATTATTTGAGATATCGAGTTAAAATTTTAATATGTTATTTTTAAAGGTGTAATCTACCGATGAAATATGTAAAAAATCGATTTTTTTTGAAATTGCATACTAGGTGTGCCCCTTAATCGTTCGAGCAATTCTTTGCATACAATGCATTTCCTTGGCCATGCCTAAATTCCAATTACATTGAGTTATCTTACTAGGGAGTGTTCATAAGCCACATAGCTGATCCAATGCTACGTAGTTTTCTTCTGATGAAAGAATTATATATTTTAAGTTAAAAGATTGTATTTATTATATACATATATTTATTTTATACAAGCAGAGTAGTTTTCCGATTTAAAGAACTTAATAATTGTCTGGCCAATTCGTTTAATCCATTTTTTCGTTGAACAAGGTACCATACACGACATCTATTTTCAAGCTAAAGAGAAGTTAAAGAGAACAAAAATGCAATATTTTCTAAAGTTGTGAAGCTAAAGTAATTTTTATAAAATGAAGATTTTCATAGCAAGTACATAAAAAATAGAAATGTTTTTGGGAAAATATGGCGGGACTGTTTAATGAAAAGATAATTAAAAAAAAAACCCACATACTTAACCTATTCATTTTAAATCTTTGTTTTTATTTAAGTTATAATGCTATTTTTGAAATATGTATTCGGGGGTTTATAGAAATCGACAGAGAACTGCTTATTTATTGGAATTGAAAGTCAAAATCTGTTTGAAATGGTGTTATGAAACCAACTTGAGTTTTGCTTTTTTCGAAGATAATCTTTCTAACACTTGAACCGATAAATCAATTTCTGTAACACATAAAATTGATAAAAATTTTGTTGCGAAAATAAAACCGATATGCAAATCATTAATCGGAATGTATAATCCCTCAAGCAGAATTTTGGTTTTCGGTTCCAATTCTGATTTCGACAACAATCTGTGTTTGTATATTTCGTACGATGTTCGTTAAACTGAGAACTTCTCAGTCATATTATTCGTTATTTAAGGAACTCAATATGAAAAAATGGTTTTTTCGCTATATGCGGTTTTCGAAAAATCAAGTATTTGTTAAATCGGGAAACTACAATACTGTACTGTAAACATTTTTATTTATTAATATGTAGCTGAAAACAAAAAGAAAAAACTACGATCCATCGGGCTGGGCAGGGAGGGGTTACAGGGAAGGACTCGCTAGGCTATATCAATGGAGGGAGGTTTTTGGGCAATCCCTTAGCAAAAGTAAAAAGTATCGTTACGTTTGTTGAGTATCTCTGGTTTAAACTTATGTAATTCAACCTTCCATAAAATGAGCCTATCACAATCATCGCCAAGGCCAATTAACTTCGAGTATTTAAAGAAGTAGAGTTGTGCTGATTTGTCACAAGAAATTTATATCAAGCCGATAGCCTTAGTAGCTAGTATCTCTACTTTCGTAATATAATTATTAATAATTATGTTTCCCATAAATAAATAAATAAATAAATATTATAATTGTTTTTTTATTTATTTATTACATTATGTGTTATATATATTATATGTTATTTATATTTTGAATATAGGTTATGGGTGGGTATAGCTTATAAACGACCGAAGAATTATTAAGTTAGGTAATGTCTTTGGTCGTATTAAATAATAAATTGCCGCATATCTATTGGTACTTCTATATTTTTTGTGCCATATCAGATTTCAACAAGATATCTCAGATTTTATCCACGTTATCCGGTGCATGGGCAGTTATGGCTAAGTCCGCTCGTCTTGCCATGCTATGAAGGTTGATCATATATGTATGTATTTACAAACAGATGTATATATATATATCTCGATTATTTTATGCATATGTAAATAATATTGTCGGGTATAAAAATTGTATGCATGTATTTATTGTAAGTAAAATTGACAATTTTAGAAATATTTAGAAAAAATATTTAAGCTTTCATAATAATCGGAAAAAAAATATTGTAAATAATTTTAGCATTAAGATCTCACAGAACAGTTGACCGACAAAATTCTTCGCACATGTTTGTATGTATGTATAACTATTAAAATTAAACGTTTGTATTATAAGTAATGAAAAAAAAAAACTTTTATAAACGTATCCATTCTATTGTAATTAAACGCTAAGAAAAACTTAAGTAGAAAATATACACAGAGCAGTATGACTTCTTTGAAAAACCATTCGAATATCTAACTACAACTCCCTTATAAGATTGAATTTGAATTTTCACAATACTATTTACTAATCAAAAATGCATATTTTAAAAAGAAAAATGTAATGAAATATATTAAATGGCACTAATAGAAATGGATTATTTATGAAGTCGCTATCTCTATTAAATATAAATAATATTAAATTGTAAGAATTTATTGGTAAGTTGTAGCTAAGCATTGAGTAAAAAAAGAAAATTCAAAGGTCAAATATACGATTAATTCATAACAATTAACTCTATCTTTCGATTAAGGGGACCCTCGCATGATATTGGGAAAAATCAGGCAAAGTTTGTATGTTCTTTTCTTGTAGGAGAATGAAAAGGCTTTTGACTATTAAATTTCTTTATTATTTGTGGATTTTAAAGCAGCAAAAAAATGGTCGAAATTCCAAATGACGGCTACAAAATGGCCTACAAGCCTACAGCCTTCTGTAGTAGACTGAAATCACTAACCATTGTCATCATTTGAAGATCGTGAAATTTTCTACGTTCTGAACCTCTATTGAAACAATTTTAATAATAAATTTATTGCATAATGCTCACTGCAGTTATAAAGTTAAATTTTTTGCAACTTTTTTCACTTTAATTAGGTTAAACAGTTGTAAATAATTAATTACTAACGGTAAACTTAGGTTCAAGACGTACAAAAAGCTATATACTTTGAAACATTTTTTAGATAAAAGAAATCGAACGAAAAGATCAAGCCCGGGACTTGAAGTTAGATCGGAAAACATGGTTTCGAGAAAAACGTGTTCAAAGCTTTTTGAAAGTTCGCAGCCTGCGTGAGACAAGTAGGTTCGAGAAGCTACCATTTGAAAAATGTTCATCGTGTTGCAAAATCCCTTTAAACACATACTTTACAAATTTATGGCTTTCATTTTCCACGAGTTTAGTTTTTCAGATCTGACAACTAATTGTGAGGCTCCTGCTGAAGAAGAGTTATTGAATCTAAATACAAAATTTTTTTGCGTAAAAAAATCGATTTTTTGATCTTAAGCCTTTTAAGGACGAGACTGTAAAACAAATACATATATAATACAATTATCTCATTCCATGTTTTAAAAGTTCATAGAAATAGCTCTATGCACCTGCGCAGGCGAAATCCACAGATAAAGAAAAGCCTGTAAGCTATAACAGATTTTCATTAAACTCCAACGATTTTCTGCTCCTGCCTATCTGCACGAGTAGAGCAGTCGTAGAGAACCTCTCTCTTGGTTTTCCATTGACACCGAGTCACGATGTTAAGAGCTAAAAAAGTTCTGTACAGAACAGAAATTCGGACGCTGATTTTAAATAAATAAGTTAATTTAATTGAGACTCTGTTTCAGCATGAAAATTATAGCAAGCATATCCCTAAAACTGACCAGAGTGAAAGAGGCTAATAAGTTTTAAGCGACTAGTTTAAGGAGTTATATATTGAGAGCTGCAGCACGGATTTCTTCAGAAAAAGAGGAGAAACTATTTGATTAGATTATCACAGTAGATTTGATACCGAGTCGTATTCCGGAATAGGCCTTATTAATGTTGTGAAAAAACCTTTAGGACAAAACGATTCTAGAATTCCTTTCACCATCGTTTTATAAATGCTTTGATTGTGTTGACTGTCACACCAATGAAAAGGGAGTTTAGGATCTACAATAAAACGCAATAAAGCATCGAACCTGTTCTGGATTGTAGATATCTGTTGTGTAATTAAGAGTATGAAATGTTCTTTGAATGAAGGAAATAACTTTAGACGAAGCGGCATTCGATTTATTTTACACCTTTTTACCGTGTTGTTGGCTATATTTGTAACTAATTTACTTAAATATAAGACTAAAAATAGGTTTACATCATCCTCATACATTAATGCTCTTAAAATTTGTATCTTTTTATTTCATCCATAAATACAGGGTGTTTGTGGCTTCATTATG